TTTTACGTGATGTATTAACTCCTCCGTTTATACACGGGGATATCAAATTTGTAGATTCAGACATTGTAGAGCTGCACATCTCTGTCCTGGCCTTTGTCTGATCCACCTTGCAAGGATTGCTGCCCCAGATAGTTTACTCTGAGATCTAAATAGTGACGCGTTTAAAACACACAATAAGAGCTTAGTTTGGAACAAGGATTTCACCTCAAATCTTAACCTCCATGCTAGCATTAGCAAGATGTGATTTGTGAGGGTCCCAGCCTGAGCACGTTCATGCCCCTTGCTAGGAGATTCCTGCATTGTAGGGGGTTGGACCATAGCTGTCAACTTTCAGATTTGAAAATAAGGGATCAGCAGCCTCACCTGTCCTGGGGACAGTCTACAGGATATCTAACAATCCGGGATAGCAATGAGAAGCAGTGGGAAACAGCGCTGGAATAAGGGAATTTCCCGAAAAAAGGGAAGGTTGACAGCTATGGGTTGGACTAGATGGCCCTTGGGTCCCTTCCAGCTCTAAGATTCTGTGATTCTATGAAATGCCAGTCTATGTGCTACAAGAACTTTTAAAAATATTTGCATGACAATGCTGCTAGAATTTTCTTAAATTCAGATGGAGCTGACTGAAGTGTCATATCACATTAAGGAAAGTAAACTGTATTCCATTTCCAAAGACTTAATTTTCAGACATATTACTCCCTCCAGTATTGAACTCTGGTAGAGAGCAAACAGGATAGGAGGCAAAAGGGGAACCACTGAGAAACAGGTGAGATTTATATACTTGGATGAACTTGTATGGTGAAGTCTAGAAGATTTTGGTTTTTTAAAACGCAACAGGGAGAAAAAGCACACATGCCTAAAACAATTCATTGGGGGGTGGGGAGTAGTTTGGTGTGTTTGAGACACAGCTTAAAATGTGCTAGAGGGCACACGAGTGACTTTTTGGAGCCCGAAACAGGAGCAGTCTGGATGTAGTTGGACAGCAGCTCCTGTTAATCTGTGGCATGGACCACATGGGTTGACAGGGGCTGGAGTCCCAATGATTTCTGGGATGCCACAGGTTCCTGACCCGTGTGTTAGGATGTGAGGATGCACTGCAAGATTTCAGGCTACAGATTACCAGGGAGCAAGCCCATTGAACATAGCTGAATTTACTTCTGAGTAAAGCTATATAAAGTAAAGCTGTATAAAGTTGTGTTATTTGCTGTGTAATCTCAGATGCCATTTTTCAGACTCTTTTAACCATAGGATTCTTTCAGAATTAGAATAAACAAGTAAGGACTTAATCCTTGCAGCAAGATTTTGCATCTTCATAAACATGGCATTTAGAACATATCCTGCTCCCTTCTTACAGATTCAGAAGACTGAGATCTCTGGTTGTTTACATTTCTGATTGTTTTCTTCAGAGTTCTGTAGTTCCCATGGCTACAAAAGCCATTTCAAGAACTCATAGATTCTGAAGCCATGCTGATAGAATTCTGCAAATTCTGTTTCCACTGCCCCTCCACAGAAATTCTGCCTCTGGTGTGTTTTCAACATGCCTCTGGGACTAGATCTTCAAATCAAACCCTGAATTAAATGTTTCCAAACAGAAGTAACACTTCATTCAGCTATCATGACGTTAAGTGCAGGCTAGAAATATGCATCTGACTATTACAACAGGTCCTCCAGCTCTCAGTGACATATGTCACTCTCTGGAATGCTCTGTGTCTGAAAAAACGGCCTAGAACTTTGTGAACTATCTGGTGTAGCAGGCCAAATTCTGTCATTAAGGGGGGAAAGAGCCTGCACTACCTGGTTTTGGTTTCTTTCAGCAGGTAGCCTTTCTGTAAAATCACAAACTGCTTTTGAAAACTTTCCTCCATTTCATAAGCAGTTTGCCGTATGGAGAGTCTACCCCAGCCAGCCAATTAGGAGCCCTGCTTGGCCTCCCAGAGGAGAGGGCAAAAGTAAATAATGTGCATCACTTTTTGTTCTTGCCTTTTTAATACATTAATATGTTTTGAGGGGAAATCATGACCTGCTGATTTATTTATGAGTAACCGAAACGGCAGAAGATTTTTCAGAATCTTGACAAAACACCCATCTTGAAAATTGTACGTATTGGATTTAGAAATATTTGGGTAGTATGTGGAATCAACAAGGTCTATATATTTTATTCTGCTATGTAGCATATTATATCACCTTATAAAAGTTACTGCAGAGTAGTTAAAGGAACAATTTTTTACACACACACCCACACCCACTGAATCCCTTTTGATTTTTGTGAATTCCAGACAAGCAACAAGATTAACCTCACAACTCTAATACTTAATTCCAATCTGCTCCCCTGTAAAAACAAACAAAAAAACCCCCTTGCTTTTGTTAAACTAACCACACACAAACATACAGTGGAAATTAAATAGCTGTAAAACTGTTGTTTGCACTTTTACCCAGTATTTAAAAGACAATTATTTCCAGAAAGTTGGCACTTGTAACCATACAGATGATAAAATTGATTCCAGTTACAGTCCATCTTTGTTTGGACAGGAAATACCAGTAGTGTTTGAAAAATGGATTATTAAGGACTTTTGGTTCGCTGAAGGTGGCTCACACAGCAGCGTACAAGGAAAAAGTGTAGCGTTTCTCCTGCCCGGATTATTTTCTCTGCAAATCTTTGGAACAGGAAATAAAAAACAGCTAATGGTTCATGGGGCATGTGGAATTAGTTTAAGCAAACCTCAACCCTTCTCCTTCTGGCTGCCTCCTCTTTCCTATGCTGTTTTGTCTATGCTTGCCTCAGAATATGTCAACAAATTTCCTTTAAGCTCCAAAGAGGAGTGAGCAGTGGGAATGCAGGCAGTATAGTGGTCCTTTCCATTAAGGGGGAAAATTTAGAACAGATGTGCATTCAAGAAGGTACAAGTTGGTCTTGTTAAAATATTTGTAAAGAAAAATAGCTTCAGGATCTTCCAAATAAATCTCTCTTGAGCTCTAGAGATATGAGAAAGGGGTATGGTTTTTGTTATTCTGATAGCATTCTTTCCACACAATACTTGATGATGAATCAAGATACACTTAGATCTGGGAATCTAAACTGAAGAGGCGTAAGTAGGAACAGAAAACAGTTGTGACTTGAGGCTGGATTATTGTTTACTTAGTAGTTAATGAACAGAATAATTGTTTCATGGTCCTCTTATATCATCAAATTTGCTGGAAAGAATGCTTCAGCAGCAAAATGACTAATTAAAATAAAATCCTACATATCCTAGAGGTCTACAGCTTTGGATACAACTACACAACCATGCTTACTATATGTAGGATTCCTGACTGAGGTTTCCCCTTAGGAGATAAACACTTAGGAAATATCAGGGTATAGTTTGATGTATGTTATCCAAGTGGCATGGATCACTAAGAACAGGGTTTTGGGGCTAATATTTTCACAGGGAGCAAGGGAAACAAAGTGACCCTTGCAAAGTGTTTTTTTAAACATGCATTGTCATTTCTAAGCATGAATGGTATCCAAATGTATATTGAATCATTACAATTAGTTCAGTAATATTTGGGTACTTAAATGCTACCTGATGATTCATTCTTTCCAGTTCAATTTCTAAAGAACAATGGTGCAAAAAAATGAAGCCAATATTATTTAAATAAACTATTACGTATTAGACCTTAAGACATATTGAAACAGAACAGAACTTTTCTTTTTTTGTAATGTAGCTTTTATTAATTTTCATATTTAAACTGTTTAACAAGGTTGCATTGAGATTAATCTTTGTTTACAGTAGAGCATATGGCGTGAAACAATTACTTAAAAATAAAATAAAACAACAATAAACATTCAGATAAACTTTTCTGAATATATTAACAAAGTTGTGGCAAAGTGTATATAGCAAAATTATTACGGTTACTACAGAGAACATAACTTTTATGATACTCCTTGCAGTTTGGTCTTGTCATGTCATCGGTCTCTGACCATTTTTAAAGTTTGCATGTTGTTGTGTGTTTAAAACTTGCTGTGCATTTATAAAGCTTTTATCATCCCAACTAATGATTTGGCTCCATGTTTTGGACATAGAGTTTTGAAGTTGGGGAAGAAAGAGAGAGGAACAGGAGGAGCTCAAGCTTCTCCTCCCAAAACCTTATCCAATCCTGCTCATGGCATCCATGGGCCTTTAACAAATATTAATATGTTTTAGGCTTCATTGGAATGTCAGTTGATATAGTAAGGCATATCATAGGTCAACAGCAAAAGTCAATTAGTCTTATTAGTCTTAGTTTGCCAAATCAGTCATTTTGTACCATGAGTCCACATTCTAGTTTATTGGCCAATTATGTTTTGCCCATTTGACATCATGGCAAACGCATGTTTTGTCTGCACTGAGCCATTGTGTATCAAGTACTGAAGTTAATTTATCTCCAAAATGTGTACTTTTACTTCCCTATGATTAAGAACAACATACCACCACTCTTTTCTAATACAGTGGGGGAAAGGCACAGAAACATTGCCGAACCCTGGAAAATTGAAGTGCTTGTCCTTAGAATCCAGGTGTGTCTGGTTTCTTACTTCACCAAAGAAGCTTTTATTATCTTGAAATGTAGATATACTCCTGTCAGCAGCAGAAAATGCATTTCAGAAATGTGAGCTGGTAATATACTGATACTTATCTCTTACCAAAGTGCACAGGATATGAAATTGGCATCCTGAACATATAATAATAATAATAAACCAAGTTGCTGAATTATTGGAACATATATCTAAGAAACTGATACAGTGACAGATGAAGGTAGCCACTATTGCGTACTCGTTTTATATGCCCTCTGTGCACACAGTTCAAAGTACAGGAAAATAACCAATTCCACAATGTGTGTGTGATACACACACACACACACACACACACACGTTCAGACAATTTTAATGGTGGCTTCCATGTGTTTCTAGGGAAAACTGTAATAATTCCAGTATGACCAGCAAAACTTGCCTTTGATTGCTGATTTGGCCTCTTTCTCATAATCCTTAGGACAGTGAAAAGAAAGGATTTATGAATAAGCTCTATGCCATCCAGGAAGTGTGTGTCAGTGTCCAGAACATCCTTGATGAAGTGGCTTCCTTTGGAGAAAGAATAAAGAAGTGAGTGTTGACACACTGCTGCTCAGTTTCTCTCAGATGGTGTTCACATGCCTGTGTTTCCCCAAGGAAGTTGTGAAATGTTACCTGTTTTAATTTAGACAAAAAACATTGTTATGATGTACATTGCAAAAGAACATTATACATGTTTTGCCACTGTTTGTAATTTTTATTGGGATTTTACAAAAAAATATGTAGTACAGAACAGAAATAGCAGTGCATCTCTGAAGGAAGAAATAATTCTGAGTCATAGTTCATAGGCTTAACACTTTGTGACAAGAGATACCATGCAGATGGCCAAGCTGCCCTGACACTCTTGAGAATAACTGGTACTCTGTATCCTGCCAAATGGCAAGAGCACATTAGGTGCTGATGTGGGGCAAACAGGTTATTTGTATGGGCTCTTGGGCAACTTCAGCGCAAGAGCCTGAGAAGATGGGGTGGGTAGAATCAAAAGGATTTCAGAGACTTACACCCATTCCTAAAGAACTCACTTGAAAGCAACACTGACTGATTTCAATGAAAATGGGTGTGTTTAAAAATCAGAGCCTTGTGCAGGGGCAGCTGGTTGTGTTCTGTCTCTCCTGCCTCTCCCACGGCACCGCCATCAGCACCTGTTTGGGGCAGGATCTCACCAAGCTCTGAGCGGTGAGAAGTTTTAGGGGTTCCTACGTGTGCCCTGTGTTGTTTTTATTGGAATGAAGGTAACTGGAGACTTCTGGCATGTATGTGAAATCAGGTTTATTTATACAGAAACAGCATAAGATGGAAGGTTCACTCATCCTACTCTGCCATTTGGTTCTTAGGGGACTCTTGCATTTCAGACTCTGTTCCAAGGCTACAAGTCTACTGTTGTCTTTCAGATGGAGAGGTTCCTTGAGGAGATGACCTCTAACTGGGGAAGCAGGGGGAAGAAAGACATAGCAAGATCACCTCTACTTCACCATCTCTTTAGTTATGCAAAGGGACATTTTCTCAACTAAAGGGAATCTGCCAGGCTAAATTTGTCCAATCAGTCTGACCTCTTCAGTAGTCTCTCTTTCTGCAGAATACAACCTTGCAGCTATTTTTAAAAACCGAAGGGTTCCCGAGTATTTTATTCCCCTTCTTCATTTCATTTCATTACAATACCATGTTCAATTTGGCAGTGTGTCAAATTGCTAAGAAGTTGGTAGGAAGGGATGGGAGGAGACAACAAGCCTTACTTCTGTTAATTTTTTCGTTCAGTACATTCAATTGGACTGTTCCGTTCTTGAGCTGGCTGGCAATCGTTGCCCTCTGTGTCTTCACAGTCATCCTGTATTTCACTCCACTGAGATACATTGTCCTTGTCTGGGGTAAGTAAAGCCTTTCTTTCCCCTCCAAACCTGTCTATGCCACATAGAACAAACTGTTTATAAGGGATGAGTTATATTGTCAGTAGTTTTCTGTATTTATGATCATGAAGCTACTACATGATGGAAACAGACAGGTTAGTTAGAAATCACAACTGTGTAAAGATTTAGACTCACCTGCAAAACACATTTTTCTTGCCCAGCATCTTAGACTTAATCATGCTATAAACATGTATCCATGAGGATTCTTCATATATCAAACTGTAGCTTTGTCTAGATATAACTCTGATTTATTTTCACCACTTATATAAAAATAGTGGCATTTCAATTTATATAGCACATTTAGGACAATATGCTTTTGTTTAGCCTTTTATCAAATGGAAATATATAGAGGCAGTTCCTATGAACTAGCAATGAGAGGTCACCTTTAAATGAACAGAAAAAGATACATGTATATTACACAGGCTGCTTCATACATTTTTTAAAGTGTGCATTTGTGTGTATTTTAGAGCAGGAATAGCCTGCTCATTGTGCCCTCTAGATGTTATTGGACTGCAATTTCTGCCATCCCTGACCATTGACCATGCTTGCTGGCCATGATGGGAGTCCAAAAGCATCTTAAGGACACCATGTTGGCTAGTCTTGCTTTAAAGTAACCAGCAGTGTAGAACGGCATGTGGTGAGTGAGAGTTAAAAGGTGTTTCAGTTAAACACTAAACTTGGGAGGCCTTTAGTTAGTAAAAATGTTCGTTTGATTTACTAGTTGGGACCAGAAGGCAAAATCAAAATTCCCTCTGCCCCAAGGAGGAAAGGAAGAAAAGTGAGAATCATAGGAGCACTTGGCAAGAATGGGGTTGTAGCCAATTGTGTCTTAATATCATTGTAAGAGCCACTGGACAATGTATTAATATGATTTGTCACTTTATTTAGGGATCAATAAATTTACAAAGAAGCTCCGAAGTCCATATGCAATCGATAACAATGAAGTACTTGATTTCCTTTCTAGAGTTCCTTCAGATGTGCAATTGGTATGCATTTGACTTTGATCTTAAACTCATTAATTACTATTATCAGGCAGTGCTAATTTTACATGTACTTTCACATGATGCTAAAGTTTCACATTTTGGCAATTTTTAATGTAATACCTTCAGTTACAGTTCTGGCAGACAGGAAGAATCTCAAAAGCTTCCATTCATTGTCTATGGATTTTGTAATAGGCATGGGTTTCTTTTGTGGGGATTTTAAAAATAATAATCTTAAAACTAGTTCTGCATTCCAAATAGGTCTATGTATATGTCACAGAGGCCTGCTGTTTGGGGGTGGGGGCGGCAAAGCATCGCACTTGGCATGCCCCTGTGCCAAATATAGAGACAATGTAGTGCCAGGCTGTTTTGCCAGACACTCCTCTCTTCAACCATGCATAGCCTGTGGTAGCAAACAGGAAGATGAAAGCAGAAGGAACCAGCTTATAAGCAGACAACTTTGCCCAGTATTTCATAGCAGCAAGATGGTCATATGGAATTGTCGCCACCATTTGCTGGTGGTGGAAATTATTCTTGAACAGTACGTTGCATGATGGGGACATTTTCAAAAACGTAAGGCTGTTGCACACTCTGCACATAAAATCATATTTGCAGAAGTGTGTGTTGTCTGTTTATATAAAACATTTTCTTTGCTATGAATATTTCCATTAACTGAGGGTTGAATTTGAAACTGGTTTAAAATAGCTGAAACATCAGTAGAAAGACACCTGGATACCTGCACTTTTAAAGTTCCTGACAAGGTGGGCCACATTATTTTGAAGTTGTCAGTATACAACTGGGTATAGCAAGAGACTCTTAATCTCAGGGTCATAGGTTGGAGCCCCATGTTGGGCAAAAGGTTTTTCCACTGCAGGGGGTTGGATTAGATGACTCTTGTGGTCCCTTCAAACTCTACAATTCTGTAAAGAAGTTTATAAAGTAGGTACTGTTCATTTTTAAAGTCGTATCCCTTGGGGGAGACTTCACTGAAGTTTCTGCCACCATACTGCATTATTTCCTGGCATTATTTTCCTTGTGTTGCTTTTCCTCCTACCAATACATTAAAGTATTTGACCTTTGGGTGCAGGGCTCAAATAGCTTGTAGGTGTGAGAGCAAGAATACTTCCTTACTCCTTTGCATGGATATTTTAAAAAAAATATATTGTGGTTGTGTTGAGTTGAAATTTCTCTCTTAACTTTGTGTTTAAACAGGTGCAGTACCAAGAACTGAAACATGATCCTACCCACAGTCCAAGTAAGAGGAAGAAAAACAACCCTGGCTAGCCAAATCCGTGTGCTGAGGAGACCATCATCTGTTCAAGGGGAAAATAAAACTAAAAAGCTCTAGACCTAAGGAGCATTTCCTCTCTCTAAGCTTTATTTATTTTGCCTTTTATTCATAATGGGAAAATTTATAAATACTGTACCAAGGGATTTATCAGTGAAATTGCACTTGAAGTTGGACAGAGTTATGACGAAGGCTTCAAATTTAGTTTAAGCTGAAGTTTTGTTGGAGTCCATTTATAGCATGAATGTGAAATGGTAAGTGATATGATAGGCACACATGACTGGATAAGTAAAAGATACATTTTTAAACTCATGCTCTGGTTAATTTTTAAAAGCTAACTGAGGATTTATGCATGACCCATCCTTTTATCCAAAGAAGATCACTCTTTTTTATATTTTATACATTTTGCCAGAAGAACAGAGCAAAGGCACTTATTTGTGTGTTTCATCCAAAAGAAATAAAACTGTAATTAGACCCTGCTGCAAATAAACAAACTGACTAGGGCTTGCCTAAAAGGCAAGCTATATATACACTAAACGCAAATGTCTTACTGGAGCTCCAAAGATTTAAAGAAGTTCTTAACACTTTTATCATTCCACCACAAGACTTTGAAAAAAAATATACCTGTATCTAAAATACTGCCAGGTTTATAACGGATTGCATCTTTAACTTTTTATATTGCCACTAATCTTGATTTGTACTTACTTAGCCTAGTGAAGAACCTGCATATCGTTCAGTAGTGAAAGAAATATTATCAGATTAAAACCATATTGCTTCAGGTGTCAGGCTGTGAACACCTTTTGTGCACATATAGTATGTCAATACTAAAATCTGTTTGCTTCCTAATCAAAAGGCCATTTTAAAAGGCTTTATAGCATAGCACTTGACCTAGTACTGTGGCAAATGAAAAAGAAACAATGTGGGCTGAATTTATATACCTGTTTTGTTTCTTCATTTGATTCACCTAATCAGTCCTCCTGATAGTTAAGTGCCCTGTTGCGTGGAAAGCATTTTTTAAATTGTGGCAGATGGGAATATAGTTTACATTTCAAAACATTGCCATTGCATAATGAGTGGCTAGGAATATATTCTTAAACTGTGACCAGTGGAGCTCTTGAGTTGAGTCTGTACACCTAAGGACCTTATCATGTAGTCCTTACAGAAAACCTGCAGTGGATGTCAAAAGGACCAATTAAGAACTAATGGATTTGTGCCCTCGGGAGGGGGGGGGGAGAGATTCCACACTCTTCATTACAGAACATTCAGTCTGCGTGGTGGCTGCTTCCCAGATTCTATTGCACTACTTACTGTTAAAATAGTACTTTTTTTGAGAGAGAAATATTCAATAGTATATGCACAGGAAAATGTATATACATTAATTTACATCTAAAGGTATTCTTAAACTACATTTCTCATGAAAGCTGATTTTGAAAATTATTTTTATCTTAGAGATGTGTTGCTGTTTCTTACAAAAGAACTATTTTGAAATTGCCTATTTATACAACATGCTTGAAAGAATGCCAAACAAGTTATGTATCTGCAGGGAAGACTTGACCCGAACATGTTCTGGTTATGTAGCCAGGTGATCGTGACTTATTCAATATGCACATGTATGCAGGTCGTGTCTCTGTTTATTGCTGATGAACAAATATGCCATTAATGAAGTCAACCTATTGAATCGTCTGTATTAATGTTGATAATTTCTTTTAGTCTGAAATATTTTGTTCACAGTGAAAACCTGTTACATAATACATGAAGACTTTTCTCTTTATTTGTTCACTTACTATTATCTATCATTCTGTGGGCTTTTTTTCCCCCTGTACAAAATGCTGACCTAACTTATTTATGCCATTAAACTCATATGACAAACGATTGATTTACTGTGTGAAACATTACGGGATAAAGAAGAAAGAGTTCATATACTCCCCACTCTCCCATGCTCAGGGAGAGCAAATGTCCACAATTTGCATAACGGTATTGATGGGAAAACATCTATAATGACCACTTTGGATTGGGGCCAGCAATTAAAAGTAATATTGGTGACTGCTTAGAGAAGTTATTTTCTCTCCTAGAGTTATAAATGCACTTGGAGTTGCTGCCTTTGGATCTCCCAAGACCCCGTCTGAGCTCTTCACCTGCAGGGGGCTGTTGCCTTTTGGTTTCTGCAATGGTTAACCGGATCATAGAACCATAGAAGAGCTGGAAGGGATCTAAGGATCATCTAGTCCAACCCCCTGCAATGCAGGGATGATCCTAGGAAGCCCACAAGGATGACATAAAGACTACAGACCTCTCCTGCTGTATCTTCAGTGGCACGCTGAGTACTGAGATTCCAATCAGCTACCATTAATAGCCATTAGGGCTTATCACCCATGAGTTTGTCTGATCCCCTTTTCATAGAATCATAGAGTTGGCCAAGCCATCTAAACTCATGTCAGTACATTCTGTAAATGAATTGCATGATGTGTGCAAAAGTGCCATTTGCCTGTCCTGAATATGCAGTTAGTCAGTTTCATTGAATGATTCCAAGTTCTAATAACAGGAGGGATAAAACCTTGTCTCCTCATTTTCTTCAAAACATGCATTTTTTTTATCGGCTTCATTCCTGTTCTCCATTTGTTATATGGAAGTTCCATCCATGTAGTAATTTTGTTTTCCCTTTCTGTACTTTCCCAGGTCTTTTTAAGATGAGGTTACCAGAACTGCACATGGTATTCCAAATGTGGACTACTCCATAAATTCATATAGAATTCAGGTGCGTGCCAAATACATATTCTGTGCTGCGTAATCATGAGACTCAGCAGTATCTTTTCATAGCACCAGGTAGAGTATCACAGCTGGACCTCAGCTGCTGAATGAGTAAATAAACCACGTTTTTCCTGCCTGAGAACATGCTTTGCCTTTCCACACATTTATCAAGGGTTACTGCTAAGTTTACAAGCTTAGAATCCATGCAAGAGTTTGCATGAAATAATTAGTACCAAGTTTTTCATATTTCTGTTAGTGACTTGTCTGTAAGCTGTTGATGTTCTCCTTTGGAAAGGAAACTTCTTTGGGGAATAATCCTGCCTTAAGCGTCAAGTGTTTCAAGATGCTGTGTGTGATAAAATTAATTCTGGAGTAAGCATCTACACCTGTTAGTGTCCTTATTTTGATAACTCACCTCAGGCATTTTTTAAAAAGGCATTTGCTTTCAGAACCACATAAAGCTGCTTTGTAGTAGAACAACATTTGCTATAAACAATTTTAAATCTATTGAGAGAGACAAAAGAAATTTGCAAAATGTTTAGGTTTTCTGTCTACTGCTAAAATCCATTCATAACTGTAATTTTCAAATATCACTTAGGGAGAAAAATGTTCATTTTTCACAGTAGATGTTTCATGAATTACTGTTTGAAATGCAATGAGAGAGAGAGATGGAAATAGTATTTTGGGTGTTTGTGTTTTTCTTTAATCCAGTAGAGTGGAAATCAGGTCACACTTTCAAGTCACATTTTCCACAGTTCGGTCTGAAGCGATCCTTTGAGCCTGAGGTTTATGTACTTTTACTTGGAAGTATTTCCCATCAAGTTCAATAGAATTTTCATCCAAATAAGTGTATATAGGAGTGCAGCCTTGATGTAGTCTTAAGTTTGCACGGCTTCAGACATGGGAGCTTTAAAGTGCAAGCAACTGCAAAGTTCTGAGCTTGGTACCCTGAGCAGACCTACAAGTTGAAACAGTGAACAAAATGAAAAAGCAACCATTTTAAACTAGTGACCAGGAATATTTGGCTAGGTCTGCAGTTTGTGGAACAGAGAGTGCACTCCGTTCAGAGATTTGACAGGAACCATGCCTGTCAGAGTGGCTGCAATCTGCTGCCTCTACTTATGGGAAGCAGAATACGGAGATGTACCTCATCATAGCATGACTCTTCCCATTGTCACCATGCCACCCCTATGCGGTTTTGCTAAGTGTTTTGTGATGTGTCAGATCAAGCTTCCCTCCACTTGCTTCCCTCCAGACGTTACGGACTATTTTATTTATTTATTTGCTGATTTTTACGCCAAAGTGTCTCAAAACAAGTTATATTGTAGAAAGAACAAGGGACATTAAAACATAATTTAAAAACAAGATAGAAGATGCCTGTGTGTTATGTATGACATCCTACGTACCACACCGCTTAAAAGGAGGGCACAAAGAGTCCACAGACATAACTGGTTACTCTCCCAATTAAAGACCAAGGGACTGAGTAAATAGAAATGCTTTTGCCTGGTGCCTAAAAACCGACAACAATGGTGCCAGGTGCTCCACAAATAGGGGGGGAACAAAGAGAAGGAGGAGTGTGGCAGTGAGTGTAGAACTGGCTGAGCAGGTGGTGAAAATCACCTCCTCCACTGATGGTCCCAGCTGCCACACCCAGCAAAGCCTCCAGCTGGGGCCTACTTCAAGCTGACAAGCCTGACATGGCTGTCAATCAGTTCAGGGGGTGGGGTAATAGTGAAGCCAGTGTTCTCATACATTCCCAAGCAGAAGGGAGGGGGGGGAGAGGAGGAGGAGGAACATAGCAGCAAGAATATCAGGACTGGCTGGGTAAGTGGACCAACAAAGATTCCATTTCCCACTATTGCTGACTATTGGCTATGCTGGCTGGGGCTGATGCAGGCAAAATATTGGGAGGGCACCAGGCTGAGGAAGCCTTCATCAAACTATTCAAGGTTCTTGTGCACCTCCAGGTGGTGGCTGAAGGAGGAAGCCGCTAGATGTTTTAAGGTGATATGCACTGCAGGTGGACAGGTCTTGGCTTGCCATTAATGGATGGGTGCTTTGCAGCACATCTGAAACAGTGGCAGACTTGGGGACAAGGAAGAGAATTAAGCAGAAGTTCAAACTTTCTGAGTAGCCGGTAGTCTCTTCCTGTCCCTCTTCTCTCTCACACACCGCACACTGTCTTGAGAGCTTCCTGTAATGATTATGAATGTAAACATTGTCTGTTAACTGATGATTGCAAACAAAAATACTCATAATAAGGATATTGTTAGGTACAGTATTAAAGCAGAGATGCTAAGAAAAGTTTCAAACAGTCAAGAAAAGCTGTACTCAGCTTGATCCTGCAAGCAGCTGCCCCTTTCCCCCAACCAAGAATGGGGAAAACTGGTGGAAAACGTTATTAAAGATTAATTTATGAAGCAGATAGAAGAACCAGTCTAGCTGAAGCAGAATCAGCATGGCTTCTGCAAAGGCAATTCCTGCCTCACAAATATATTTGTATTTTTTGAGGGCATATGAATCAGAAATGGTGAACTGCAGGCTTCCCAATTTGGCTCTTGCAGTTGTTTTCCCCAGATCATGTCCACCTGCCCCACGCTTGATAGAGGCAGTTGGATCGGATCTTGTTTTTTTGTTTTTTTGAAATGTATTTTTATTAAAGATTTTCTTGATTTACAAAGGTATGTGCAATGTCTCTCATATTTTTTTTCCCATGTAACAATTTTTTAAATATTTTTTTACAAATCGGTTTCATTTGTTGAGACATTAGGAAGAATAGGGGGAAAGAGGTGGAGGGGGAAAAATATGAGTGGGGTTGGGGTTGGGTGGTGATGTTTCTATTTTACTTAATATATGTGGGGTTTTGTGTCAGCGTTGCTTGTGCGGGTTCTCTGCTGTTCACTTGTGTTCCTTTGGTGGTGAGAGAGGTTGGGGTTGGCCTAAGGTGTGGTTGTTCATTTGTGATTGGCTGTAGTGATCTTTGTTTTCATGTGTGAGTGGGGTGGGTGTTTTGGATCAGGTTAGCCATATTGATTTGTATGCTGTTGGTGGATTTTTGTCATTGTCTTGTTGGGCTGTGTATGTGATAAAGGGGAGCCATACCGGGGTGAAGGCATCTTCTATTTGTCCCCATGTCAGTTTCAGTTTATTGGTTACTTTTTCTAGTAAGGCTGTTTCCCATACTATTTGGTACCATTGGTCCATGTTTATTCCTGATAGGTCTCTCCAGTGTCTGGTTATGATGTTTCTGGCTGCTGAGAGTACGTGGGTTCTGAGTTCTTTGTGACATAAGTGGGCATTGTTGTCTTGGAAGATGTTTAGTAGGGCCATTTCTGGGGTGATTTCTAATACTTGCTTGGTTATTTTACATATTTCTCGTATGACTGTTGTCCAGAATAGTTGGATTTTGGGACACTCCCACCACATGTGGAGGGGGATCGGGTGCTTGTTCAGTCAATACTTAATGAAAGCAAAATTGTCACCCCCACCCATCCCCATTAGCTGCATAGGGAGCTCAATTCTCCTTGGCTTGTGTGCAAAATCATCAAATTTCAGATTTCAAAATTTGAGGCTTTTTCATTTGCAGAAAAACAAGAGGAGACATGATAGAGGCATAGAAAATTAAGCATGGTGTGGAGAAAGTAGCTAGAGAAAAGTTTTTCTCCCTCCCTCATAACATTATAATTTGGGGGGTTCAATTAAGTTGAATGTTGGTAGATCCAGGGCAGAATTAAACAAAGGATTTCTTCATGGTTAATCTATGGAATTAACTCCCACATGATGTAAAGCCATCTGTCTTATCCTTCATTAATTTGTCTATCAATGGCTACTGGCTCTGTTCTGCCTCCTCTGCTTTAGTGAAATAAGTCCCAACTTGGATTGTCATTTGAAGGAAAATGCTTTGGGGCTCAAGTTACGCAAAATATATTCCTCTGCCTATTTTTGTAAGACTATTCGTCCCGTGTGAAAGGGAGGGAGGGGGTAATTGGTTGCTTTCAAAGGATGGGCAAATTAAAAGTAATTCTAATTTTACCTTTTTAAATGCAAGGTTGCTGAGGGTGGTTCTTTTCCTTCCCCCTCCTCTTTTAAAAACCTAATGAATGATAAACTTAAGCCACTTCAAGCA